AAGTTTAACTTCACGACGAAGGGACCGCTGCTTGTCAACAACAACTTCCCAATCTCATAGCCAATTTCAACTTCACAACGAAGGATATTGGACTCCAGACAACGCAAGTTCAACTTCACGACGAAGGGACCGCTGCTTGTCAACAACAACTTCCCAATCTCAGAGCCAATTTCAACTTCACAACGAAGGATATTGGACTCCAGACAACGCAATTTCAACTCCACGACGAAGGGACCATTGCTTGTCAAAAAAAATTCATTCAGAGTCAATTTCAACTTCACAGCGAAGGATATTGGACTCGAGACAACACAAGTTCAACTTCACAACGAAGGGACGGCTGGTTGTCAACAAACAATTTCCCAGTTCAAGAGCCAATTTCAACTTCACGACGGAGGATATTGGACTCGGAACAATGCTACTTACTTGGATTTCAACTTCACGACGAAGGATATCCAACTCAAAGAAGGATTATCTGCCATCAAAATTGTCGAGTTCGACTCCATTCAGCTCGATGACACATCAATCGCACTACTTTCCGGTTGCAGTTGAGGTTTTCAAGTCGAGAAGATGACCTGGGTTAGCCGTGCCTTAGTGACAAGCAACCATTTTCAAACAACATAGCTTAAGTCAAGAAAAAACTATCTGTCAATGAAGATTTCTGAGTTCGATTCCGATCCAAGGTCTTTAAATCGAGAAGAAGACCGAAGGGTAACGGGAAGCCACGTGCTGATTCAAATTCCGAACTACGGCTTCAATTTCATATCATTTCAAGATGAACTCGACTTCACGATGGAGGAGTCATCCGTAACTCAATTCGACAGGGAGTTATTGAAACAACAGAGTTAATTTTCAACTCCACTGAACGAAAAGTGTGTCTTTTAATCTTTGCCCTATCCCCGTTACACGACTATGGGCAAAGAGGGGCAGCTGTCAACACACATTTTCGTCCTACTAGGATTCAAACTCCTAAAAATAGGATAAAATTTTGCTAGGATTCAAACTCCTAAAAATAGGATAGAGTTCTACTAAGATTTAAATTCCTAAAGATAGGATCCACAAGCACTATAAATAGCCATTATAACTCACCATTGTAACAGACGATTTACACACAAAACATAGAGGAAAGCACGGGAAGATACAAAGGCAAAACTATTGTAAATGATTCGAAAAAGAAATAAAAGGTAGCATTTTCTTTTTTCTTTCTTTTGTATGTGCACGTTATTTTTCTTGAGATTTGGTTCGAATAACCCAAAACGTGGGTTGCGCCGATGACCAAAATGGGTGGGGTTTCGAAATTTCGAACCTAGATCTACCCCGAGGCTTATTTTTAAAAACCGGTTTGATTTTCGGTTAAAGGAGGGGAAGAACTTTTTAAAAAATCTATATTAATCCCTTTATATTTTATTCATTTATTTTTATTATTCATGTTATTATTATTATATATATATATATTAAATTATTTCCATTTATTTTTTTACTATATTTTTATTATTATTATATATATATATATATATATTTCTTTAATATTTTACTTATAAGTCTAATATTACTATATATATATTGTAATTATCTTTATCTAGTCGTATATATTTTTTTATACTTTTAATAGTTTATTTATATACCTATTATTAAATATATATATTCTTAATTATTTTTTGATTATTTCTTTATTTATGTAATATATATTATAACTTTATAACTTTATATTATTTTTTATTATTTTCATTTTTTTATTCATTATTATTATATTATTATTTTAAAAAAAACATTGTGTCTTTATCATTATCATTATTAAACATTATATTATATACTATTAACCTAGAGGACCCATTTTTTTGTCTTATTTCTTACTAAAGCCCCCCACTTTCGGTGAATTGGCAGGGTAGTTTTTCTATTTTTAAGTATTTGGTGTATATATATAGCTTATTTATTTTATTAATACTTATATATATATATATATATATATATATATATTTATATTTTTTTTCAAATATTACTATATATAATTATTACTTTACTATTTTTTCCTTATCTTATTTATTTATTTTATTTTTCCCTTGTATCTTATTTGTTTTCTTTACCTTGTTTATCTAACACATTTCTCGATTCTTTTTAAAGGATATTTTCAAATCAATTAAGGGTAAGTTATTAGGATCGAAACTTTACCTTTTAATTTAACTTGTTATTTTTCTTAATTAAGACAACTGGAAATTACGTAGTACCGAAAGTGCGGTTCAAGGATGCTAATCCTTCCTTGACCGTAACCGACTCCCGAGCCCGACATATTTCTGGTAAGACGCAGATCATGTGAGAAATAGGGTATCCGATCAACCCATTTATTTTTAAATAAATGATCGGTGGCGACTCCAATCCACATTTTTCTAAGTCGAATCCCAATTCTGAGACCCAACCGAAAGACGGTTGCGACACATTGGTTTTATGATTTTAAGCCAAAAAAGATCCACCCAAGCTGACAAATAATCTCTATTTTATGTAGCAGACCAATATTTCTAAGCCAAAAGTTTGAAGGTACTATCTCAATAGAATCACCTACGTAATTGATGCAAAATTCCAACCAAACTTATCTTCATGGGAAATAGTGACAGACGTGGAGAATGGAAGAAATGATTACCGACTATGGAAAACAGCACTCCAGAGCCATGAGTTCATTGACAAGAGTCCATATATATGCCACAAACTTGCAAATTCATAGTATGCGTTATTACCTTGTCTTAAAGGCAAGTTATAGTAAAGAAGGATGAAGAAAGATAGCCAACCATGAAAATGCGTTGCTAGGTTGAGTGCAAAGAAAGCTACAGAAGCTGGTTCCTGAGCAAATTAACAGTGAGGTCAAGATGGAAAGAAGACTAAAAAATTCCATGAAAACTAAAAAATATATTTAATAGGGTAAAAGGAAAGAAGCAAACCTGAATTCCAAAAACTCGCTCGAAGGGCCATTTACCATGATACTTGACAGGTCCATTACCAACTGCTTCCCTTTCTTTCTCTCTGTCAACCATGCAATTATAACGACACTTTGGCAGTCCCATTGTTTCCACTTCAAGTAAAGTGGTTCTTGCATATACCATGGACCACCATTGGAAACACCATCAGAAGGAAATTTGCATTGTGGAAAGCATCTTCCCCCAACACATCCAGTTTTCTCACATTCTGCCACACAAGCCGTAAATAAAAAAAAGCAATCTGTGTTTATAAATGCATATTTTCTATGTGCAAATTACTCTTGATCTAGCCAAGGGCCATATCAAACAATCAGTATCAACCGCAATGAGCTCCCTCATACATGAAGTACCTTTAGTTTACAGTAAAACTTTCACACTATGAAGCACGTGACAAGAAACATCGAAACTCCTCATCTTACACCTAATCAATATGAAGCAAACATCCATAAAGGGCGCAAAGACTAATTTCTGGGAGTGGGACTTGCATCAACAACATACATAAAGATAGTTACAGTCAGCGGAGAATCCTACTAGTTAACCAAATGAATGGTAAAACGATTATTTCTAATGAAACGACTTCTTCCAATCTAAGATCTAAGTAATATGCATGACTTTTGCAGTAGGCACTGTAAGTTCCAAACTTTACGAGACTTGAATTACTCTCAAGATCCTTCAGCATCCTTATCGAAAATCAATAACCAAGTATGTTTTTTTTATTGAAACCAACACTAAGTAACAACAATTTCCTCGGGATAATTGGAAAAAGAAATCTTTTTCCTACCACGAACATACTTGTATGAAGCATAAGCTAAAATTAGAACAATAATATCATCAAACGAACAAAAAAGGGGGAAGTAAAAAAAGAAGAAGAAAACCCCCCCGAAAAGCCTGTAAAGTGGATCAGCATCACCAGCACTGGCATCCAATGCATCAACAAGTAACCAAGAAACCAGAAACAAAGCCATTGAATAACGATCTATCACCATCTGATTGGAAAGTGGGAGTAGCAAACATTGTCAGAAACCAAACGGAACCAAGCAAATGGAGCTTATAAAGCTTTTGATGGGCAAGTTCGAAATCTGGGTACTTTCGGTTCTGAAGAAAAAACAAAGTAGGGACAGATCAAACAGGACGAAACAAATGAAGAATGTGAATGAAAAGAGAGCAAATTGTTTGCCTTTTGGTTGAAAAATCCAGTTGGGCAACCTGGGAAGATTGCAAAGTTGGATTATAATAAAAGAAACTGAGAAACTACGGTCGATTGCGTGCAGCTGACATCTTTGGACTTTCCAGATAGGCTTCGGCCATGGAATGAGATTTCAGAGGGAGAATCAATGTTTTGAGGTCCATTGTTTCTTTTGTTTGGATTTCTTTGGTTATGAATGTTTGCTTCTTTCTGCATAATTGAGCCATTCAAAACAAGCTAGACCAGTGAGACTCAATGTACTTCCTCTCAACTAAAATGCAAATCAATAGTAATTTAACTAAAGTTATTTACACAATTATCTTAGTGGTAAAGGAATTATTATTATTATTTGAAGTATCAGGTTTGAATTATCAATATGAAATGATTGAGAATTATCTTTGAATAAATATTATCTTACAATTACCTTAGATTAATAAAAAATTAAAGTTAATTCAATTGCTTAAAGTCAATTTGTACCTGTGCAGCATGGGATATACTTGATTATATAAATATAAATATTCTAATTAACTCAAACTAAATAACTATAGTTGACCTCCACCATTCCAATTAATTATCTCTGAATTAACTTTTATTCTAAGGTCTGACATCACACACCAGTGGGTTTATTTTATAATGATAATGTTAAATATACATCAATTTGGTTAATTTATTAATTTTGTTTTTGATTATAACCAATTGTACAAGCAATAAGTGTAACTACATACATGATGCAACGACAGATCTCTACATCATATAGCGAACAGGATGAGGATTCTGTTTTTTTTATTATTCAACACACCAAAGTGGAGCTTTACTTTAAGCTTTGATTTGTTACATAGGTAAAAGAAAACCGATGAAGCATTTAATCAATTAATCTTTGCAAAATCAAGTGATTTCTTACCGTCGAGTGCATTTCCAAAAACATTGTTTAGATAATCCACAAACACGAATTCTTTGTAAAGAGCAATCCCATCTTTCTCCACCACTTGAGGCAAAGGTGCAATCTTTGCTGTTTCTATTGGCATTGTAAAGACTGGTAATGAAACCCTTGAATTTGTGCTTGATGTACGAACTCCATGTTCTGCACTTTTGTACTTTCCATTGCTTAGTATCTGCAAACAACACAGTGATTATGAACCTATGTGTTGGATATATGAACTGCAAAACTACACCGTTAGCACTGACTGAAAATATAAACAGTAATTAAGAAGAACAGATTCGTAAACCGTGTCGTGGTAAGAACCACTGCCTTAGAAACGAATTCGCCTCGATGTGTGTAATCGCTGCAGTAGGCGGACCCGTTCCCCGAGGTTAACACGGTCGCTCCAAATTCCGTACACCCGAAACCGGAGTGGACTGCTGGTGGTATTGTACTTCTGATCGGAAAGCACTCAGAGAGAACTCACGGAGAGAACTTTAGAAAACACTTTGTAAGTGAATTGTAAAATGTTTTGGAGTGAGTTGAGAAGCTGAATATAGCTCTCTATTTATAGGCTAGAAATAGGGTTAAAATCGTCCATAAAATTTCAGGATTAAACCTCTTATTTGTAACAGCTGAAACGTCTAGATGAACCTGACTCAGAAATAGTCCAGGTTCATTGTATCATTATTCAGCTGTTATAACTCCCGAAATTATATCATGTAACCCCTGGAATTAAATCAAATAACTCCTGTAACTCCTGATATTAACAGCTTGTCTCCTCTGTACAAAGCTGTAAATCAGTCCAGGTACATCTTAACGTTTCTGATTTAATTTAGGAATAAACTGTTTAATTTCTGATAAAAAATAATAATTCAGCTGTTATTATTTGAAATTCAAACAGTCCTCAGCAGCCTATAAATATCAGTTGATATCTTTCACATTTTCCATTTGTTTCTTTCAAAGAGAAATTCCTCAAGAATTTTCTCTAAAAAGATAGTATCCGCGCGGACGTGTCGAAGACACGTATTACCACGACCACGACCACGACCACGACCACGACCACGACCTCGACCACGACCACGACCACGACCACGACCACGAGCCGAGCCGAGCCGTGCCGAGCCGAGACGAGACGAGACGGACGGACGGCGGCGGCGGTGCGCGAGAGCCCCCCTTGTTCTCTATCACTCAACAAGGAAGTGGAATGTCAAGCCTTAAATACCATTCCCAATAGTGTTTCCAACACTATGTGGGATTGAGCATTACCAACATTCCCCCACTAATGCGAAAAAAATCTTCTGAAACTCGAAAACAAGCTTTCCAGAAGAGTAATAGCGAGATTAGTTGCTTAAGCACTAGTGAACATATCTGGAACTAGTACATAGTGATGATGAGCAATCCTTCTCTTAGATAAGTGAAACTAGTCTGGAACTTTCTAAGATCAGGGTAAACTCATAACACACAACTAACCCCTTCATCCACCTGAGTCCTCGATGTGTAAGATATATATACAAACGTATATATTTGGCCATCTTACCTCAGGATTCTAGTAAGTGTGCTAGAAAAACAGTCCAACATTTTTCATAGAAGGCGGCTAACCCTTCTCACTTACATAGGTTATTTCATCAAGTTTATCTCAACATAAACCACCCTTTAAAAAGGAATATGAAATAATTAAGAGCTTTTATAATAGCTCAACCTCACAAAGGGTTTGGTGACTTTTTTCAAGTTCATTATAAATGAACCACCCAAACTCTGGGCTAAGAAGTCATTAAGAATAAATATTCAACCTCATTTATCGGTAAATTCAATAAGTCCTTCTCACTAGAACCATCCAAATACTTGGATTTGAATTTATTAAGAGTTTAACAAACTCAACCTTTCTGTCGGTAAGTTCATCATTTCCTACCCACTCGGTCTGGGTTATGAACTTATTAAGAATAGATATTCAGCCAAAATCGGTAAATTCATCAAGTCTTTCTCACTAAGACCACCCAAAGCCTGGGCTATGAATTTATTAAGAGCAATTAAGCTCATCCTGGGCATGCACATTATTCATCATAGGGATAGGCAGTAGGAATGTGCACTATGAGTCTTTCCATGGTTTCGTTTGACCACATGGAACTTAGATAACTAAGTTGGGTATCCACCATGAATTCCTCAACCAATGGGCTTTAGACCCATCCCCCTCGATGAATCTAGGACCAGCTTCCGACTTAACCCTTTGGTAAGTGGATCTGCTAGGTTCCTTTCCGACTTCACATACTCTAAAGAGAGCACTCCATTCTTTATCAAGTGTCTAACTGATTCATGTCTTATGCGAATGTGTCTTTTCTTACCATTGTAAGCTTGGTTCTTAGCCACACATATTGCAGCTTGTGAATCACACAACAATGAAACTGGAGGAGTCGGTCTTCCCCACAACGGAATATCTGCTAACAAGCTTCTGAGCCACTCGGCTTCTTGCCCAGCTAGGTCAAGAGCTATAAACTCTGACTCCATGGTAGAACGAGCAATACAAGTCTGCTTTGATGATTTCCACGAGATCGCTGCTCCACCCAAAGTAAAAACATACCCGCTTGTAGAGCTTACCTCATCATTATCAGAAACCCAGTTGGCATCACAATATCCTTCCAATACCGCAGGAAAGCCAACAAACTCAAGTTTCCAATTCACAGTACCCTTAAGATACTTTAGTAAGCGTTTAAGCGCAATCCAGTGCTCACCACTCGGATTATGAGTATATCTACTTAGTCTACTCACGGCATAAGCAATATCAGGCCGAGTATAGTTCATTAAGAACATTAAACTTCCGATTAATTTAGCATATTCAGTTTGGGAAACACTACTTCCTTTATTCTTAACTAGATGTATGCTAGGGTCATAAGGAGTTCGAACAGGGACGACATCAAAACTGTCAAATTTCTTTAGCACTTTCTCTATATAATGTGCTTGACATAAAGAAAATCCCTTCTCAGTTTTGGTAACTTTGACTCCTAAGATTACATCTACTTCTCCCAAATTTGTCATCTCAAACTTAGTGGACAAGAAATTTTTAACTTTGTTAATGGACTCAATGTTAGAACTGAAAATCAACATGTCATCAACATAAAGACTTATGATAACACATTCAGTTTCAAACATCTTCGAATACACACAAGCATCCGAACCATTCACAACAAAACCAAAACTAAGAATAGTTTTATGAAATTTCTCATACCACTGTTTAGGAGCCTGCTTAAGTCCATAGAGTGACTTTTTGAGTCTACAAACTTTGCCTTCCATACCAGGTGCCTCAAAACCTAGTGGTTGCTCCATGTAAATCTCCTCATCTAGATCCCCATTCAAGAAAGCAGTCTTAACATCCATTTGATGTACCTGCAACTTATGAATAGAGGCTAGTGCAAATAATGCACGAATCGTTGAGATTTTTGTAACGGGAGAGTATGTATCAAAGTAGTCTAAACCAAACCTTTGAGTGAACCCTTTGACGACTAACCTTGCCTTGTACCGCTGAATCGAACCATCTGGCCTTAGTTTCTTCCGGAAGACCCATTTGTTGGAGATTGGTTTGAATCCCTTAGGCAAGTCAACTAATTCCCAAGTATGATTAGACATTATCGATTCTAGTTCATCATTAACAGCGCTTTTCCAAAAACTAGCATCGATAGATCTTATAGCTTCTTCAAAAGTTTTAGGATCCTCATCTAATAGAAAAATTTGAGCTATAGGATCTGAAATGAAGTCTAAATCATTTATCTCAGAAATAAAGGAAGTAATAAAGTCTGGTCCAAAAGAGGTTTCAACTCTTTGCCTTTTACTTCTTCTAGGCTCAAAATCAATTTGTTCAAAAGACCTAGCAGGATTACTAGAAGAAGTTGATGGAATATATTCTATTTGTGTTTCAATATTTATTCTCGGTTCCTTTAAAGGAAAAGTATTTTCAAAGAAAACAGCATCTCTTGATTCACAAATAGAATAATCTTGTAAAAGCATGAATCTGTATGCAGCACTATTCGTAGCATACCCTATAAACACTGCATCAACGGTTTTAGGTCCGATGGTGGACTTCTTAAAATCTGGCAAGCCCACTTTAGCCAGACACCCCCACACTTTCAGGTATTGTAAATTAGGAGCGTATCCTTTCCACAATTCATATGGGGTAGAATCTAATTTCTTATGAGGAACTCGGTTCAAGATATGAGTTGCTGATAGAATGGCCTCCCCCCATATGTTATCAGATAACCCGGAACTTATTAGTAAAGAATTCATCATCTCTTTTAAAGTTCTATTTTCCTTTCGGCTATACCATTCTGTTGAGGAAAATAGGGGGCTGATGTTTCATGAATTATGCCATTCTTTTCACAAATATCTTTTAAGAAATTAGATCCATATTCACCACCTCTATCAGATCTAACCCGTTTGATTCTCCTTTCTAACTGATTTTCAACTTCTGCCTTATAAATAAGAAAGAAGTTTTCAGCTTCATCTTTAGTTCTTAGGAGATAAACTTTTGTATATCTTGAATAATCATCTACAAAAGTTATGTAGTAGTGTTTTCCTCCTTTACTTTCAGTGTTTCTAAAATCTGCTAGATCAGTATGAATAAGTTCTAACAGTTCAGTCTTTCTATTAGAAACAGTCTTAAAGTGAGGTCTAGTATGTTTAGCTTCTACACAAATCTCACATTTGTTAAAGCTAGTTGTGTCTAGTTTAGGCAGAACATTCATATTCATTAATTTCTTTAAAGCATGAATATTCACGTGTCCTAATCTAGCATGCCACATATCAATGGATTCAACAATATAAGCAGAAGTGGTAGCTTTATTTTCATTAAATTGAGTTTCTATGACAAATAAACCATTGCTTAAAAACCCTTTCCCCACATAATCACCATTTCGGGAAAGTACAAGTTTATCTGCCTCAAAAACTAACTTAATGCCTGCCTTATTCAGAAGCCCACCACTTATCAAATTTCTACGCAAGGCAGGTACATACAGAACATTATTTAAAGCCAGAGTTTTACCAGAAGTCAGCTTGAGTAAAACCTTGCCTTTGCCTAGCACTTCAGAGCTGCTAGAGTTCCCCATGTACACACGTTCACCAGTGTTTCCATCCTCGAACTCGGTGAAAAACTCCTTCCTTGCGCAGAAATGCTTCGAAGCGCCAGTGTCAACTACCCATTCTGAACTGTTCTCCACCAGATTAACTTCTGAGACCACCGCAGCAATGATATCATCATCTTCTTCTACAACGTGCATCTGTGGCTTGTTGTCATTTTGGCGGTCTGAGCGGTGTTGGCATTGGTAAGCTTTGTGGCCAGGTAAACCGCAGACATAACACTTGAACGTCTTTCCTTCCGATTTGGCCTTTCCTGACTTCTTGAAGTTGGTAGCCTTCTGTGGTTTCGTCTTTTTGTCTTGATTCCCACGTTTCATGATCTTCTTAAATTTAGACTCAACCAAGTTAGCTCTAAAAGATAAATTACTCATAGAATTAGTAAGCTTATCTTTTAAACGGTTGGCTTCTTCAATCTTCATATGGCCCACAAGTTCTTCAAGCGAAATGTCTCTCTTCTTATGCTTAAGAGAGTTGCGGTAATCGGACCAGGACTTGGGCAGCTTCTCAATGAGTACATTGGCTTGCAGCACCTCACACATTTGCATCCCTTCAGCGATGATGTCAGCGACTAAGTTCTCATAGTCATGGACTTGATCCATTATTGGTTTGTCGTCTGTCATCTGGAATTTGAGCCATTCACCGACAACGTACTTCTTTATCCCCGCATCATCCGCACCATACTTCTTGTCGAGAGTGTCCCATATTGTCTTGGCACTCCTTTCTCTAAGGAACATATCAAATAGTTTATTTGACATGTGGCTGAGCAAATGTCCTCGTACCGTCTTGTTATCCTTCTCGTATTTCTCGTAGGTAGCGAGAACGGCGGCGGCAGTTGCTAAGGCATCATCATTGAGGATCGTATCCGCATCATTACCGACAGCTGGGGTTGGTGGCATGGTAGGTGGTGGCTTGAGCAACACGTAATCAAGATCAAGTTGCTCGAAGAATATCAGAATTCTTTGGGACCACCTTCTATAGTTCTTTCCATCAAGTGCATCGAGCTTGGAAAGATCGGGAATGAGTTTGCTCAAAGGTGTCGACATGATTGCAGTTTATGGAATTCGTTTCTAAATTGTTGGATATATGAACTGCAAAACTACACCGTTAGCACTGACTGAAAATATAAACAGTAATTAAGAAGAACAGATTCGTAAACCGTGTCGTGGTAAGAACCACTGCCTTAGAAACGAATTCGCCTCGATGTGTGTAATCGCTGCAGTAGGCGGACCGTTCCCCGAGGTTAACACGGTCGCTCCAAATTCCGTACACCCGAAACCGGAGTGGACTGCTGGTGGTATTGTACTTCTGATCGGAAAGCACTCAGAGAGAACTCACGGAGAGAACTTTAGAAAACACTTTGTAAGTGAATTGTAAAATGTTTTGGAGTGAGTTGAGAAGCTGAATATAGCTCTCTATTTATAGGCTAGAAATAGGGTTAAAATCGTCCATAAAATTTCAGGATTAAACCTCTTATTTGTAACAGCTGAAACGTCTAGATGAACCTGACTCAGAAATAGTCCAGGTTCATTGTATCATTATTCAGCTGTTATAACTCCCGAAATTATATCATGTAACCCCTGGAATTAAATCAAATAACTCCTGTAACTCCTGATATTAACAGCTTGTCTCCTCTGTACAAAGCTGTAAATCAGTCCAGGTACATCTTAACGTTTCTGATTTAATTTAGGAATAAACTGTTTAATTTCTGATAAAAAATAATAATTCAGCTGTTATTATTTGAAATTCAAACAGTCCTCAGCAGCCTATAAATATCAGTTGATATCTTTCACATTTTCCATTTGTTTCTTTCAAAGAGAAATTCCTCAAGAATTTTCTCTAAAAAGATAGTATCCGCGCGGACGTGTCGAAGACACGTATTACCACGACCACGACCACGACCACGACCACGACCACGACCACGACCACGACCTCGACCACGACCACGACCACGACCACGACCACGAGCCGAGCCGAGCCGAGCCGAGCCGAGCCGAGACGAGACGAGACGGACGGACGGCGGCGGCGGTGCGCGAGAGCCCCCCTTGTTCTCTATCACTCAACAAGGAAGTGGAATGTCAAGCCTTAAATACCATTCCCAATAGTGTTTCCAACACTATGTGGGATTGAGCATTACCAACACTATGTTATTAGAGTTGTTTAAATTTTCGAAGGGCCTTGGTTACCTGTAACATATCGCAAACATTGATGACCAAGGCACCGGGAGTAGGAGAGATCTCTATCCACTCTCCTTTTTTTCCATATTCCGTATCTTCCTCGATGTTAACATATAAGCCACCGATTTCGTCTTGTAACAACACCGTAAGAGTACCTATATCAGAGTGACGTCCTACTCCGACAGTGAGATCCGGATCGGGACATGTAGGATAGAGGATCATACTAAGCATCTTCTTGCCGGTGAGTACACCAACCATCGAGTCATCCGGTTCCACCCCTAAATTTCCCAACAAAACTTGAAGCAATTTCTTCACCATGATGATTGAAGACCTCAAGTACTCCAGTAACACCCCTCTAGAAATTAGTAAAAAAGAGTCAAACGGATTTCGGAATAAGCATATTAACAACCAGCAATTAATTTATATAAACCTCACTTGATCTCTGCAGGCCAATGTCGAAGAGCTTCGTGGTCGTCGGTGTAATGAACGAGGATATAATCTTTCCATCCTAATGCTTTCTCTTTCTCTGGCCTAAAGCTGGTGCCGTACCGCACCAGTGGAGTTGGACTTACTGGTTCAAGATAAACAGTCTTCCTTTGAAGGGGCAAGCTGAAGAACATATGTGCAGTGTCTTTAAGGGATTGAAGTAGATGAAGAGGGACTCCATGGTTAACAACTTGGAAGAAACCCAGAGTCTCTGCAGCTCTAACAATTTGCTTGGCCACTTCATCGTGGCCATTGCCGTCCAGCTTCGACAGATCAATGGGTGGCAAGTCGAGTTTGATGGCGTTTTCCTTGTCTATTCGTTCTTTTGGTGGCTGCACGTAGGACACTGGCACCTTGTAAAGGCCCGAGTCAACCAATCCTTTTACACCGTTTCCTTCTTTGACAACAAATTCAAAAATAGAGTTGGCATCGTCGAGATTAGGTGCCATTATACTAATGATCAGTGTAAAAGAAAGGTTTTGGTCAATGTTTTGAAAACCGGATCGGTCGGTTCAACCGGTTCAATCGGGAATCGCTGTCTAGTCTGGTTCAATTTACACCGGTTGAACCGCTACTAGTGAATTAGCCGGAACCGCTGAACCGTTCGAACAGGACCGGCTGAAAACCGGAAAAAACCGCCAATTTTGTTTTTTTTTTAAATTAAACCAAACGATGTCGTTTGTTAAACGAGCCAAGTCGAACTCGAGTATTGTTGAGCTCGACTCGAACTTGAAAACTTTAAAAGTAAGCTCAACTCGACTCAAACTCACGAGCTAAAAATTATCAAGTTCAACTCGAACTCGAAATATAATATTAAAACTTGAACTCGAAAAGGCTTGAACTAAAAAAAATTTAGAAGCTCGATTGAAGCCTAAAATTCGAGCTTGATTAAAGTGAAAAAATAGTTCACTCAATGCTCACCAAAATGTTCCATGATTTTGAATGTCAAATTATCTCTATTATTTATAAAAGTTAGTTGAGATGTTCTTCTATGTTTCTTAGTCATGTGAGATTATTTTGTTCTCATATTTTTACTCTTTAGACTTTTGGGATGCTCTTCTATGTTTTTTAGCCATGAGGGATTGTTTTTAAAAAAAAATTAAACCAAACAATATCATTTTATTATGATTTTTTAGCCCCAAATTTATTTTTTAATTATAGTTATATAATTATATTTATTATTTAATATGTTTTACCTTAAATATTATGTTGTAGCTAATTTAAATCATTTTGTTTCAGTTGATTTTATGGTTTTTAACTTATAATGTTATGATTTGCTTTGAATATGACTTGTGATATAAAAAATTATTTTTTATTAAATATTTTTTATATTTTTATTTAATTTTTTAAATAATTATGAAGTTGTCCGGTTCTTCCGACCGGTCGAACCAGTTCGACCGGTTGAACCAGTGAACCAATAGCTTGGCCGGTTCGCTAACCAGTCCAGTTCTGAAAACCATGGTTTTGGTTGTGGAAGGTGGAGGAAAAGCTTATTGTTTTGGTGAAAACCAGGGCTATTTTCCCAATATATCACTGGTGATCGGTATTATCACCGGTGATCTGTATTATTACCGATCTAACACCGGTCATACTATATTTTTTGATCTAACACCCTTAGTAGAAAAGCGCACCCCCTGCACCGCGTTATATGCTGATTTGGCGCCACGTGGGTATAGCGCCCCCTGCCCCACGATATACGGTGATCTGGCGCCACGTGGGTATAACGCGCCCTCTGTCCCGAGATATACAGTGATCTGGCGCCACGTAGGGGTATAGCGCGGATCAGGGGTCGCGCTATACGCCGAAATTATATTTAACGCGGTCCCTGATCCGCTCTATATCTTTTATCTGAATAATTACATATAGCGCGGTGCAGGTACCGCGCCTTATATGCTTATAAATACACTCATCCGGCTCACATCTTCTCGCATCCCTCCTCTCTTATAAATTAATACAACAATTCCGTCAACGAGTAATAATTCTCGCAATCTTCTCAAATTTGATTTAAAAGTTCGTGCGATTTTTCGTTATAAGGTAATTTTGTTATAATTTTTTAATTATACTTATTGTTTATTATCATTATTTGAAAAAATATTATACTAATTATTTTCAATTAATTTTTATGTTTGTAAAATTGAAAAGTGTGAGCATACGTCGAAATAGTTTTGCGGTGCAGGTAATAATATAAAATTATATTATTTAAATTATTTACGTTGATGTGTAAAAAATTTATTGTGTTATATTTTCGTTCATATATAATTTATTTAATCAAGTTTGTTTAAGTTCTTTTTTTTTTTGCAGATATAATATTGCCGCACTTTTAAACTCAAAGAATGGCGCGACTTTCAGTTATTGTTTATTATGATGGTGAAATTCGAGAAGATGAAATCGGCGTTGTTTTCATATCAAATGAGCGTGTTAAAATATCATTCAAGAGAAACATAACTCTTGAGGAGCTAATAACGAAGATTTCAAGGAAGATTCATGTTGGAAGTAACAGAAGAATGTCGTCGTTGTAGTACAGATTTCCAACATCATTGTTGCCATTAACTTATACAGCGTTCGAACTTTCGAACAATGATGATGTTCAAATGATGGTTGAAGCTCAAAGTAATTATTTAAACGCCGCTATTGAGATGTATGCACATTTTTTTCAAGTACGTACTGTTCGGGGTCAATCTTTAAGCTCACACTATGGGCTGGCTGAACAAGTTGATCAAGTTGACAGCCCGACTACAATAGTGTGTAATGATTTTAATGCCATAATGGGGAGACATTCATCCGTAACTCCTTACGATATGTACCGAGGTGGGTCCACGAACAATCCATATGGCAACACCGCGTCCAGTTCAAGGGGAAGGCATTCATCTGCAAATTTCTTTGACCATATGGAGATGACATCGACGCAACCATCTGTGCAGTTTCCATTTGACACGATGGCTTCAAGCTCCAGGGGGAGGCATTCGACTGCGAGCTTTTTCGATCTCAATGTCGATATGCCTTCCAGTTCAAGGGGAAGGCGTGCAAGTAGTAGGTTCTTCGACCTAAATGTGGAGAGCATGGAGGAACCATCATCTCCACCAGAAGAATCGTTTTGTGAGCCTGGTGCGGATGGTGTTGAGTCTGGACTATTCATTCACCCAGAATCACCGCAATTCAACTCCGATGATGATGAAGTTCCAGGAAATGTGGCACAAACTGACCCTCCTGCACACATGTATGAAGCTGATTATGGTGCAATGTACGGGCCAGAATTTGCGGATATGCCTCATCTCGGTGACTATGGATATTACTCATCAATAAATAATGGTGAGTTATCTTTAGGCATGGAGTTTTCAAGCAAAGAAGAAGCGATGATGGCTATCAAAAATTACAATATCCGTAATTCTGTTCAGTCCAGAGTTAACCGATCGACGACCGAAAAATATGTATGCTACTGTGCCCGACGCGAAAACGGATGCAATTGGATGGTTCGCGTATCGAAAATGAAGAGGAAAAACAACATATGGGAACTAACAGTATACAACGGTCCTCACACATGTTGTGCTGGAGGGGTCAACCAAGATCATCCGAACTTGGACTCTGAAGTGATATGCCAAGCCATCATGCCCATGGTAAAAGCAAGCTCTCATATAGCAGTTGCAGTGTTGATTTCAGCTATACAATCGCAGTATGGGTACACATTCTCCTGTAAAAAAGATTGGTTGGCAAAACAAAATGTCATTGTCAAACTTCATGGCGAATGGGAAGCATCTTACAACGAACTTCCAGGTTGGTTTAAGCTGGTGCGGACGTTGAATCCTGTGATAATTGTGGACTTCGAAACCTCCTATGCATACCATAATGATCGAGTTCTTCGCGATTGATGCCAATTCTACCGGGTTTTTTGGAGTTACCCACAGTGCGTTAATGCTGCCAAATACTGCAAGCCTGTAGTGCAGATCGACGGGACTTTCTTGTATGGAAAATACAAGCAAGTTTTATTATTGGTAGTTGTCCAAGATGGCAATCGCAACATTCTTCCAGTTGCTTTTGCTCTTGTCGAAGGAGAATATACATATTCTTGGGCTTTTTTTCTCCAAAATTTACGTGCACATGTTATCACGAGGGAAACAATTTGTGTCATTTCAGATCGCGGAGCTGGGATCAAAGCAGCAATGGAGTCTTTGGGTCCAATGTGGCAACCACCCTTTGTCCAACATAGGTATTGTCTCTGACACATTGCTGCGGACTATCATGGAAGGTACAAGAAGAATGATGAGCGTCAATTAATTGTGCGCATGGGTAAGTGAAAGCAAGTTAGTAAGTTATACATTTTTTGATCATTTTAATTTTGTAAAGAAAGCAAGTTAGTAAGTTATACATTTTTTGATCAGGTTACGAACTACTTCCTCGAACGTTTGAATCAATGCTTCAAGATTTGCGGGCGAAGAACGAGGAAGGATACGATTACATCAGCCTCATCGATAAAGAAATGTGGATGAACGCATATGATGGTGGATATCGATATGGACACATGACGACCAACTTAGTTGAGGCAATCAATTCAACCTTAAAGGGTGCACGTCACTTACCTGTAGCGGCTTTGGTAAAAACTATATATTTTCGTTTGAAGGCATTTTTTGCGAAGCTCGGGAGACAAGCTCAAACCTGGATGCAAGGCGGTCATGTCTATCACCCTAGATTAGTTGCAGATCTACAGAAAAAAATTGATGCATCAAATGGAATGTCTGTAACAAGCTTCTCTAGAAGGCATGAAATGTTTCGTGTCACAGAGTTGCCCTGACCTCTTCAAGGGATTGAAGTTGTGTCGTTAAGAGTAAATCTAAGGGACAGAGCGTGCGACTGCGGGTTTTTTCAAGCTCTCAAGTGTCCATGCTCTCATGTGATAGCAACTTGTTCGCATACACGTCAAGACTATAACCATTTTGTGGATCCTGTATACCTACTATCTGAAGTTTTAAGGTATACGAATTTGAGTTTCCCCCCATAGGTAATGACAAAGACCCTGATGAGGTTCAAGATTGGCTTCCGATTGTACCAAATCCGAGTTTATTGAGGGAGTGTGGTCGTCCAAAATCCAATCGAATTCATTGCGATATGGATATTCGAGAAAGATCTAGACAAGACAGAAGATGTGGCCATTGTAGAAACCCAGGACACACTAGAAAAACATGTCCACTTCTGTTGTCATCAAGTAACAATTGATGAGGAAATGATGTATTTGTTTATCAAATAATAATTCTTGTATTTTAATTTGTATTTACTTCAAGTTAATGTCATTCGATAATCGCTGATGAAGATTAAAAAAACGAACACTATTATTAAATTTTATCAAACTAATAACAATTTGATATTTAAATACAACAAACTTACAATAAGAATTAAATGGTAAATGATAACCAAATTACAATAACTGATATTAAATGGTAATAAACAAAATTAACTA